TGTTGCATCATTTCAGTTTACACACATAGAAAGAAACAAGTCTTTGGAAGCAAATTCTTTCAGAAGCCCAATTTGATTGAACTATTTTGGCATGTTTTATTTGCAAAGAGATAGTCTACAAATGTGTATCATCACACAGCTCAAAAACCAAAACTGTAAGTATATTTAGAAGAAAATTTTGATGTGAAATAAATATTTTTCTAAAGATGTACCACCACTTCTCAGAAGCTATTCTGTGAGGCATAAACTCAGGACAGTCCCGTTCATTGTAGGCCAGCCAAGTGAAAGAACCTTAAGAACATCAGAACAAGCGACACCATCACATCATGGCTTCTTATTTGGATTCCCCCACTATTTCTGATAGGTTTCAAAGGAGACTTATAGGTATGAAGTAATTCTTTTCCAAATGTCAATATATCACTTTCTAGAAAACATCCATTTCAGAAATGGGAAAATGTTCTGTGTTTTACAGGATTTGGGCATTTTAATGTTTTTCCTATGATACCATTAAGGCAGTAACAGGACATTTTTATTGTCCTGATCAAAAGGCCTGAAAATTCTATTTCCAGTTTTCTGTTCAGCTCAGAGTCTCATTTTGTTACCAATGATTAAGGCTGTGGCTATCTTTTCCCTCACTTCAGCCTCTAAGACAAAGAAAAAGTTCCTGCTCTTTGTCTAACAGATGGCATCTAAAGGAGTGAGGAACTGACTACGGTTACGATGGTGGCCATTGGATCAACAATTATAACCAGATTAAGCTTTGAGATTTTTGAGAACCTCACTTAACTGTCCCTGACTTAACAACAAAAATTTTTGTTGAAGAAGAAGAAGAAGAAGAAGAAGAAGAAGAAGAAGAAGAAGAAGAGGAAGAGGGACCTCTCGTCCTGTAAAGTCTTTCCCTTCCAGATTGTAAGGAGGAAGTCGGAAAGAGATGGCAGAGGGCAATGGAAATGGTGTCCCCGGTTTCTTGTCTGCCTTTGTCTGGGGCAAGCACAGATGCCCAGATGTTTTGCAGACACTGAAAAGATAATTCCTAGTGAACTGTCAGACAGAAGCCATAGCATTTATCTTTCCTGAGCTTCTCTAGTTCCTAGAGAATTCTGTTGAGGTTCTCCTAAGAATCTCAAGCTCCTAAGCTTAGAATGAGGCTGGTTAATAAGAATCAGTGGGACTCAACATTTTGATCACATGACATAGAGAAAGAAATCTGGGACTGGGATAGAAGCTTCTTTACTCTGGATAGTCATCACATTGCCAGAAAGTGCCATGAAAGCTACTTGGAAAGAATTGTTCTTAAGAGTCTTACTCAGCTTGGATCTGCATACAACAATACTCACTGGCCAGGAAAGATGAGCTCCCTGGTGCAACAGTGACAAATCTTCTGTAGAGGTCACCAACCACTTGCTGATTGGACTTTAGGGTTCCTGCACAGGAGGGAAATCACACCTGATACTGTAGAACTGGTCAAGAGCCTATGGCTAGCTAGCTCACAGGCCCTAGTGGGGAAACTACTATTCTTGTTATACTAAATGGACATAATGTACCCATCAGTTTTCTTCTGAATAATTATGTCTATGCCTAGAAAACAGTGCCAGTGTCAGTTTTGATCAGAGAATCTTCTTTTTACAGTGGTCAGTGGTAACTGCAGGGACTCAAAATACTGAGAATAAGTCTGTTTTCTTCAGTGTTGTAGCCACTGCTAAGGTGCCCCATGACCCTGTAAACAATCCTAATGATACTAACTGGTCAGGCCTGGAGAAATGACTCAACTGGTTAAGAGCACTGGCTGCTCTTCCAAAGGACCCAGATTCAATTCCCAGCACCCACATGGCAGCTCACAACTCTCTGTAACTCCAGTTTCAGGGTATCTGACACCCTCACATAGACATACATGCAGGCAAAACACTGCCATGCAAATAAAATAAAAATAAATCTTTCAAAAAAGAAAGAAAAAAGAAACTCACTGGTCATGAAAAAAATCCATTAAGACAAAAGAGGTGCTATTTGTGTAGAGGAAGAGGATCAGTTGGAGTATGAGGAGGCAAGAGAAGGTAATTAGTAAAGGGAAAATGATTAAAATATACAATGCGTGAAACAGTATATTAAAACTTATTGTGTACGACTAATATATGCTAATAAAATGTTTTTTTAAAAAAATGGGGTTGGGGAGATGGCTCAGGACGTGAATTTGTCTTTGCGAAAGCAAGAGGACATGGGTTAAAATCCCAAGCACCCACAGGAAAAGCTGGCAACAGTGGTGCCTGTGTGCCTGTAGCCTGAATTGGGAGGTAGAGGATGGTATCCATGGAACTTGCTGATCATCAAGCTTTCTTAAAAGGAGTGAGCTTCAGTGAGATGTTTTGTCTCAAAAACTAAAGTAGCTGGAAACTGTGAGCCTCTTCACTGCTGTAGGGAACTATCTGGCCACTTCTTAACAAACTTTGTTTGCTTGACTTTATCTCTACCTTTTTACTCCTTAATTTTGTTCTCTGTCAGTTTCATAGAGCTATATGATGTATTCCAGACATTCTTTCCCCATAATCTTTTATCTCCTTTCATCCTTGTCAATACCCCTTTCAGTCCTATCAGTCCCTTTCCCAAATTCCTGACTTTTAGTTTTGTTTAGTGACCCAATGTAGCCTGGGATGTACATGTGAGTATAGGATTGTAACTATCCATTACAACTATCCTGGTGGGGCCATCCCCACCAGGTTTGTTTGCATCTGAAGACACAGATGCTCACTCTCCCTGAATTAATCAGCAGCAAATAGTTCATCAGAACTTTTGGAGCCTATCCTACTTCCCTGCCTGAGTGTTGATGAACCCATTCCCATCTAGAACCAGTTCAGAAACCTACAGCTCTGTGGAATCTGAGGTTGTAATGGCTGTGTATTGCCCAGAACATGGTGTTTCTCAGAACTTTTTAGCCCTTGGACATTATTTTTTCTGCTCCACTTTGTTTGATGTTCCTTGAGCTCACAAGGAAAGACATGAATGTCTTCTTTAAAACTGAGCACTCATTTATCACTTATTCTAGGGACTTTGTGCAGCCATGAGTCTCTGCATTTACCACCAACCACTGAGAAAAACAAAGCAAAACAAAACCTTCTTTTGTTAAGGCTGACAGTAGCATTTGTTTCTGAATGTAATTATAAATATTCAAAAAAGCAGTTTGATGATATTCCACTTCAGCAAAGCAAGTTTCGGCTCCTCCACAGGATCTATGACAGCCCCCAACATATGTTTTTGACCAGCTTTACAATACTAGGGATGGTTTTGCTCCTATGGAGTGGGTCTCAAATCCAATCAGGAGAGGAGCTGGTTATGCCATCAACAGTAGTGCACTGTTGCACAAATGGGTATACCTTGCAAGGCAAATTGGTACTGTAGCTTGTAGGATACACAGCTGTTTATCTTTCTTCCCTAGAAGCATAAATTGCCCTTTTAAAACTATGAAAATAGCCATCAGGGATGAATCTTATAGCTCAATTCCAACTTGATTTCTCAATATCATTCAACCAACGCATATATATGGTCTTCAGCAACAGTTCTAGTGGTGGGTTTTTCTTCTTGAAAAATAAAATGGAATATGAGCTGCACAGCAATTGGAGACACCTAACATTCTTTGTTGCTTTCACCTGAATATGCACAAACATCTCTCTCACACACACTAACCTGGCTAGTTTTATGATATAAGCTAGAGTCATCAGAGAGTTTTCATAAGATCAGGCTGTAGGAAAGGCTGTAGGGCATTCATTAGTGATTAATGGGGAGGGACCAGTCTATTGTGGGTTGGACTCCTGGGCTGGTGGTCCTGAGTTCTATAAAAAATAAGGGGGAAAAAAAGAAGGGTAAGCAATTCATGGGAAACAAGCCAGTAAGTAGGACTCCTCCATGGACTCTGTATCAGGTCCTGCCTCCAACTTCCTGACATCCTGAGTTCCTGTCCTGACATCCTTTAATGGTGAACATTTTGGAAGCATAAACCAGCCAACCCCTTTCCTCTCCAAACTGCTTGTTGTTGTCATGTTGTTTCATTACAACAATAAAAACCCTAATTAAGACACATGCAATGGAAGAAGAAAAAAAGAATTAATTAAATTGCTGAGATATATGAAAAATCAATGAGCAAGAGTAAAGGCAGTGTCACCTAGAAACCAGGGGGTGATAACACAACATGTACATTACCATCTTCTAAACTCTGGAGCCAACTTGAAGCAAGTTCACAAGAGAAGCACAAAGCATATCTACATGAAGAAGTAGCAGAATAAATTACACAACAGCCACAGACAGATCAATAGTGTGCCAGTCTCCAGAGGAAACAGAGAAGAGCCTAAAACCCTTGACATTGCTCATCCCCCAACTCCTTCGATACATACCTAGGTGACACCTTGAGAGATTCTCAGAAATGCAGGATAGAAGGCCCAAATACTGAGCTTTAAAGAAATTATTTAAACTATTAGGTAACATCAGCACTTAAGAGATGAGGGCAGAAAGGTCAGATGTTTAGGGTCTTGCTCATCTATATGCATGATCAAGGCCAGTTGGGCTACATGAAAGTCTGTCTCAAAAATCCAAAACAAATATATTACCTGACTCTCAGAATCAGGCCTACCATTAAACCAAATAAGGAAAAAATTAGATTTTTCTCTGTAGCAACACATGAAAAACAAAACATGATCTCATTTCTTTGTTGATCCAACTCAGTAGGAACTGTAAAATAAATTCCTAGTTTTAAAATAGTAAAGCAATATTTTATGCACAAATGTTTAGCTGTAGATATAAAGAGCCTGAATAAAACACCATTCCTTCCATTAAAACAAAAGACGCAGGAATGTGGAGGAGTTAGTTTATAAAATGAAAGAATCTTTTATCAACCAGAGGATCTCTATGTTGGAATCTGTGTGCTGACAAAATTCAAGCTCAACCTAGTTCTACAATTTTCATTTTAGACAGCCTCCAGTATTTTTAAATAAAGGTAATTTCCATTGAAGTTTTACCTTTTCTTCAAAAAGCTTGCAGTAAAACACGTAGAAGATGAAAATATCAAACTGATTTCTCTGAAAACATAATAAGAAGGGCAAAGTCACAACAGGGCAGTTTCCAACCTTTTGACATTGCAAGGAGATAGTGTCATATAGCAGTGCTTCTCAATCTGTGGGCCACAACTCTTTTGGGGGGGGGTGTCAAGTGATTCTTTCATGAGGGTGGCCTAAAACCATTAGAAATACCTGAAATTTACATTATGATTCATAACAGTAGCAAAATTAATTATGAATTACCAATGAAAATAATTTTATGGTTAGGTCACCACAACATGAGGAACTGTATTAAAGGGTCACAGCATTAGGAATGTTGTCATTGTCATATACAAATGTATTAAGCAGTATTTATTGGTAGCCTAGAATTCACATGACCTGTGGGCTGCAAGTTAGATATACCTATAGCCTCTTTCATCACATATGTGAATAAATAACACAGCTCTAGATTCATTATTAATATCCAGATTATGAGTATACTACTTTTAAATATTACTATGTATCACCAACTCTTTCTTGTTGACGTTTTAGGCATTTGCATTTGAATAAACCCATCACTCTGAAAGCCTAAATTCTGAAATGCTAGTGAGTCAACTATGAAAATCTGAAAGCAGTACAACTTAATGTTAAGATTCACTCATATATCTCCCTTACTTAGAAAGGTACATGGCATACGCATTCTCCCTGTAGCTCTTACTTATGTTAAGTAAAAAATTAATTACTGCACACATCAATGACTGATCTAACCAAAAAGAAGTAAAAAGAGAACCACATCCAAAATGTAAATTTTATTACGATAAACCCAAATCTTCTTTCTTAGAGCTAGGGCAAAGTGATCAGGATTTCAGAAACACAGAATTGGCTCTAAGTCATCAAACTGGGTCACCTTTTGGCTTCTTCATGCTCTTTCCGGTTTTTTGCTGCTCTCCATTTCTTTACCAGTATCTGCTTGATTCGGATCATTTCTGGCAGGATTTTCATGGAGTCACTTGCGGGCCTAGTATGCTTTAAAGAAAAAGATAAACACACAAATGACCGGGAAAATGTACACACATGTTGACTAACAATCGATATAGTGCCTGACAAATACAAGCCCTGCCCTCTTGGGCAGGTGTTTGGTGGGTTGAGCTTTGGCATCAGGACTGGCCTAAACATTCTGCTTCCTAACTTGGGTCCATTTTACTTGGTTTGCATTTTTAAAAGTGTAACACAAGAAAATATTAAAATTTGAAAATGAAATAGGTGACATAAAGCTTAGGGAATCCCAGCTAAATTGACTATCAGATTAGCCTATAGTTTTTGTCTCTAGAGCGTGTTCTTGATTAATGGCTGATGTGTGAAGGCCCAGCCTACTGTGGGTGATACTATCTCCATGCAGGTGAGGTTGGCCTATATAAGTAGCAGAACAAGCCAGAGCAAGATAATAAGCAGTGTTCCTCCATGGTCTTTACTTCAAGTTCCTGCCTCCAGGTCCCTGCCTTGCATTCCTACCCTGACTTCCCCTCATAATGGACTATAAGCTGTAAGCCAATTCCACCCTTTCATCTCCAGTTTGCTTTTGGCCACACTATTGCATCACAGCCACAGAGACTCAAATGGATACAGCATGGTACTTTTTTCTCTTTCCTACTCTGGGACATTCTCCTGCCACTCATGGGAAGCCCTCCGATGATCTTCTAATTTACTTTCCTGTCAAAATGTCTCTGTTGTCAAAAAATCCTTGTTTCAACTTTCTTTCCTCCTCTTGTGCTGACCCCATTTCAGGCAGGTTATTGCTCTCTGCTAAAACAACACAATCTTCCCTCCCAAAGAAAAATTAAACTCTGTACTCATCTGACCTGACTTCCCTGCACTGTTGCTTCTCTGGAAAAGCCACCTCCAAGTTCCCACGTTAGAAACCATTTTCTCATGTCTTCTTACTTGACTGCTCCTCTGTTGTCCAAACTTTACCCCATAGCCTAATTTTGTTCCTCTTCTTCTTTGTCTTAGGCATCTTCCCTGTCCCATCTTCTCATCTTCTCTCTCTCTCCCTCCTCTCTCTGTCTTAAGCCTTCCCCTCATTTCCCCCCTTCTTCTCCTGCCATCCCCACTTTGGGATCAAATCCAGGACTTTTGCATGCTAGGCAAGTAGTCTCCCAGAGAACCACATCCCCAGCTCACTGATCATTGTTTGAGACCAGGTCTTGTAAACTGTCTTCCTTTTATCAGAGGAACACATAATTTTAGTAAGAAATCTAAAAACATGAATAATTTATGTTATCAAATGCTAATCTGAAATTTAGGGAAAGGTGGGTATGGCCCAGGGGAGAATGCTTGCCTAGCATATACAAGGCTCTGGTTTCAGTTTCCTGACACCAGAAAAAGAAATAATTGCTGAAATCTACAGAAAAAAAGTTTTAAAAGAAATAACACATACCAATACCCGACGAGTTGTCACAAAGTTGGTGTATGCTCCAGCAAAAATGTCTTTGATTTCAATATCCACAAGGTCTAAAAAAGTAAGATATACGTGTTCAGAGTTTTAATGGGAAAAAAAAATATGTCTATACATAACTAAGTCGAATTTATTCATTGTTGAAAATTTATACTCTCCTAAATTTTGACTACAAATAGCATAAACAATTAATTTTGGCCATATCAAATGCTATTTATTCACTCAATAAACATTTTAGTTGTCTAGACACTTGCATAATGAATTGGAGTTGACATGCTTATGCATTTGTTTAAATATATCAAATCATATTGTTAATATAATTAACTAATTTGATATCTTGTTTGGTATTTCTTAAATCTTCAGAAGTTTCTAATTCAGGAAAAAGTTCAGCAGTTTAAAATAAAAGTACTAAGCAGCATAATCATCATTCAGTGGAATCCTGTGAAAGAAGGTGTCATGAGCTGGTAGAAGGACTCATACCTTCTGCAGATAGGAGGCAGGTAACGTGAGAGTTCTCTGCTGGGGCCTTCTGATGAGTTGGGTTGCTTGTGTAACTTGGTCCACAGCCTAAAGACACCACTTGACCAGTGGTGTAGACATATGCAATGGTGTGATAACTACAACATGAAACACAATGCAATGATAATACGATATTCCAAAGAACCAGACACTCAAGCTTTCAAGAAAAAAGAAAATGCCATTCACCTTTGCCATGCAGCCAGCCGTCTCATTACAGTGTTAGTGTTGCAGAGTACTAGGCGGCATCTCCAAAGAGGTGGCATTAACTTACTAGTCAAGATAAAGTTAGTGATGGGGATTCACTGTATTTCCTATCATGTAGCCTTTTTGGTTTTGTTTTGAGCCAGAGTCTCATATAGACCAGGCTTGCTACCATCTCTCTATGTAGCAAAGGATAAGCTTGACTTTGTGATCCTTCTGCCTTTACCTCCCTACTGCTGGGGTTAAACACTGACTTCATCATCACCACCACTACAACCACCGCCACACCTGGTACCACTGCCACCACACCCACTATATGTAGTTCGAGGGATCTACTCTTACGTTTGTAAGGTATTGGCAAGCATTCTACCAGTTGTTCTACGTATCAGGTATTTTATGTATTTTTTTCTTAATTTTTAAAACAGCACACAAAATATCAAGCTTTGTCATGAAGCTGTCAAATGCTTGTTTTTATTGTCTCTCTTTGCCATGTTTGCTCATATCTTTCTGTGTCTCTCCTCCCTTACCCTTCCACCCCTGTAGTATCCTTTCTGCTCTCATGTCACATGTGTTCCATTGCCTGCCTTCCTCACATATCTTTCCTCCCTTTTTAGTCTCTCATGAGCTATCACATTCTCACCCACACAAATACATACAAACAGTAAAAGTTAAGATCTGCATGGAACAAAACATGTTTTTGTCTTGAGTCTGAGTCAGCTCTCTTAATATAGTAATTTCCAGATCTATTCATTTTCCTGAAATTTTCATATTCCATTTTTCTTGATATCTGAGGAAAACTTCATTGTATATGTATATCACATTTTCAATACCTATCTGTCCACCTATCAAGGAGGCATCTAGGCTGATTCCATTTCCTGGTTTTTATGAATAGTGTGCAAATGTCTTTTGGAGTCTTTTGGGCATATGCCCTGGGAAGCACAGCTGGGTCAAACGATAGTTCTACTTTTAATTGTTTCAGAGATCTCTGTACTGGTTTCCATGGTGGCTGCACCAGTTTACATTCCCACCAGCATTGGCTTTTTCCTACCCTTGCCAGGATTTCTTCTGCTTTTTTCCTTGAATACAGTTGTTCTGACATAGGTGAGGTGCAAACTCAAATTAGTTTTCAATATGCATTTTCCTGAATGTTACAGATGTTAAACATGTTTTAAAATGTTCATGGTTAACATGTGCTGCTTATTGGGAAAACCATCTGCTCATTTCATGGCACATTTATTAGCAGTTTGGGTTTTTATATGTTCTAGATCTTAGCCTTTTGTCTGAAGTAGCTGGCAAGGATTTTCTCCCTTTATAAGCTGTCTGTTCACTCTGCTGATAGATTTTCTTGCTTGTATGAGGTTGTAAATTTCATGCAATTCAATTTGTTAATTCTTGAAGTTATTTCTCTTCTATTGGAGTCCTTTTTGGAAAGTGCCTGCATCTTGAAGGATTTTTCCTAATGTCTTCCTCTAGCATTTTCAGGGCTTCAAGTTTCAAAATAAGGTCTTTAATCCACTGGAGTTGAGGTTTTTTGTTGTTGTTGTTTTGTTTTTTTCCATGTATCAGTGTATATATGGTGAACATGTATGGTGTATATATATATATATATATATATATATATATATATATATATATATATGCCCACATGAGTGTGGGTAAACATATGTGTGCGCCTATGGGGTTTCTAGGCTCATATCAGGAATCTTCTATCACTTTTATTCCTTATTCATTACGGAATAAGTAATTAATAAGTCTATTAATAAACCCAGCCAAAGACTTCTGATATGACTAGTCTCTTGGGAAAGCCCTGATTCCCTTCAATGCTGGAATTACAGGTGGACTGCCACACCCACCCACCATTTACATAGGTCTTGGGGATGTCATCCCTGGTTCTCTCTCAGCCTTGTGCTGAGAAAATTTTAATCCCAGAGCCATCTTCCAGGCTAAATTTGAATTAATTTTTGTGCAAGGTGAGAGATATGAATCTAATTTCATTTTTATTCAGGTGGATATCAAGTTTTACTAGCATCATTTGTTGAATAGGCAGTTTGTTTTTTTACCCAGTCAAATACTAGGTAGCCCTCTTTTTAAATTTATGTGGGGATCCCATATTCTATTTTGTGTGTTTTAAATGCAAAATTTTGGAGTTTTCTACAAGGAGAGCAACAGAACTAGAAGATTTGAACACAGGGGTCTTCCCAGAGACCCATACTCCAACCAAGTACCAGGCATGGAGATAACCTAGAACCCCTGAGCAGATGTAATCCATGGATGGCAGTTTAGTGTCTAAGTGGGCTACATAGTAATGAGAAAAGGGACTATCTCTGACATGAACTGATTGGCCTGCTCTTTGATCACCTCCCCCTGAGGGTAGAGAAGTCTTACCAGGCCACAGAAGATGACAATGCAGCCACTCCTGATGAGATCTGATAGACTAAGATCAGAAGGAAGGAAAGGAGGACCTCCCCTATCAGTGGACTTGGGGAGGAGCATGCATGAAGAAGGGGGAGGGAGGGTGGGATCGAGAGGGGAGGAGGGAGGGGCTTATGGGGGGATACAAAGTGAATAATAATAATAATAATAATAATAATAATAATAATAATAATAAATAGAGAAAAAATTTTGGGGTTTTATTTTGTACTGGGTTAGATACATATACAAATACTCAAAATAGGTATTATGAGATATAACCTCATAATTAGGTCAACTGAAACCCTGAATATATGTTAATAGTCATTATGCTCTGTATGCATGAGATTAATTTGTCTTACCAACTTAAGCAGGCAAATACTACCACCTTTGCTATTTAATTCTCTCCTACCCTCTACTCAGAGAAAAGTTGTCTATTATAGTAAACTTCTAATAATTATTTGTTGCATAATTATTAATAGAAATGAAATTTTCAAATTAAAATGTATTTTAAAGAAGTAAATTTTTAAGACGAAAAGTTTTTATCAAGAGTGTAGCCATGTGGTTTTGGGTGTCTCATAATACTTTCCGTTCAAACTTTTTTAAAAGGCCTGATACCTTCCACACTCTATCTGTGAAACATGGCCACCAATTCCTTCTACGAGTTGTGGGCCTCTTCTGTTACTCCTGGGACTATGATGTATCTGTCCAGAGCTATTGCTTCCAAATGTAAACACTTGTCCATCCTGTTTAAAAAATAAGGAATCAGATTAATTCCATGTTTTAAAAGATAACTATGTTAGTACAAAAGCGGTATGTGAAATTTGTATCTTATAAATTTATTTATAAATTCCATAAATTTATTCCCAAATTATTTATACTTATTTATAAATTGTCATAAACTTATTTAAAAATTATTTGTATTATTATTACAAAAATTATTTATAGATTTATGGAATTTCTTTGAAAACTATACACTTTGAAGATTTTAAGAATGCATTACACACTTAATATTGCTAAGACAGGGGCTGGAAAGATGGTTCAGCACTTAAAGCATGTACTGCTTTGCAGAGGACTAGAGTTTGATTCAACCACCCATGTCAAGCATCTCATCACCACCTGTAACTCCAGCTCCAGAGGATCTGAATTCTCCTGTGTTCATGTATACTCTCTCTTTCTCTCTCTCTCTCTCTCTCCCTTTCCCTTTCCCTTTCCCCCTCCCTATCCTTCTCCCTCTTCCCCTCTCTCTCTCCAGTATTTAATGAAGAGAAAGGTACCTTTTCCACATGTATACTGTATATACACAAGGAATATTATAATTTTGTGAATTCTGTTTCAATAAGGCTAGGAAAAAAGAACTAGACACTTAATGGTTGTTGCTGAATTAATCGTGACAAATTAACTGTTGAACACTAACACCAACATTTAAATATTGTGTTGGGTGCTTTATTTATTTCGGCATTTCCTGAAAATTCACTCTCCTCAAAAGATGATTCTTTATTTAAAGCAACTCTAGGGGCTTGGGGATAACTCAGTTGGTAAAGTGCTGGTTACATAAGCATGGGGAGCCAGATTCAATCCCCTGAATTCATATAAAAACAAGGCACTGTGGTGTGCACTTCTAATCCCAGTGTTAGTGATATGGAAATAAAGGATTGGGCTTCCTTGTCTGTTGGGTTGACAGAATGAATGAGCCCCAGGCCAATGAGAGAGATCCTGCCTCAAAACACAAAGTGTGTGCTTGTCTGTGAAGTGGGTTATTGAAAATGATAAAACAAATTTTTGTGCAGACCAATTTTGCCAATGAATAATTGCCTGAAAGATTAGCTCCTACATTAACGTCTATTAACTTCTATTGAGACATCTCCTGATTTCTATTTAGTTCAGTTTTCCACTTTAGATATTTGTATATTAGATAGGCATTTTTAGATATTGAAATTCATCTTATGTCATATTTGAACGTTGGTGTTCTTGTAAAATTCGTTTATGAAAATCTTAACTTCTGGGTTTGGGAGCAATGGCTCAGCAGATAAGAGCATTTGTTGCTTCTGCAGAGGGTCTAAGGTCTGTTCCTGGCATCCATATGGAGCCTAACAGCTTGGTAATGTCAGTTCCAGTGAATTTGGCCCTACTTAAACACTGTGTTTATGCGATGCTCAGACATACATGTGGACAAAACACTTACATTCACAAAATAAATCTTTACAACAAAACCCAATTTATAATATAGTGTTATCAGGAGATAGAATTGGACCTTTGGTATATGATTAATTCATGAGGGTAAATCCATCATTAATGAAGTTATTTTTCTTATATATTAAAAAAAAAAAAAGACTCAAGAAGAACACTCCAACCCCTTCTATTGTGTGAGAACACAGCAAAATCTATCACCTGGGAGTCAAAAAGCCACCCATCATCATATGTAAATCTCTAGGATGTTGTGGCTTCTAGAGCTATGAGAATTATACTTCCCTTATCTCTAAGCTGCATGGTTGGTGAGGTTTTGTTACAGTAACCTGGACAGACTCAGATTGATTACTGTCAACAGTAAACAACGCATATCTCTTATCAATAATTCTCCAACATCTGAAAAGGAGAAGCACATTTTGAGTTACCTGGGTAAGCACTGCAGTGTGCTCATGACCACAGCTAATATAAACCACGCCCAGATTCTTCAGAGCTCCGATTGAGTGAGGCTTGTAGATCTTCACTGTTGAAAGAAAGCAGACTTTCTAGAATATAAGAAAATGACTCAGGGAGGGGTTTGTAAGTTTGAGAAGAGCTTGGGCTACAAAGTGAGACTCTGGCGAGTGTGGGAAGATAGTCTCAGATTTTCTTATCTTAACGTTTTTATAACTTTTATGATTTCTGTCAATATAATTTTGAAAGTGAACATTCAGAAGTATTAAAAGAAAAAATATGCTGAGGGGAAGCTATGCACTCTCATACTCATTTCTGGAAACCTTTAACCTTCTAGAACATCTGAAGCAATTGTCCTGGAGTACTAAGCTTCAGTACTAAGCTCCAGTACCAATCTCCCAAAATTTTTTCATAATTTGTATTCATTTCTGATGCATATGGTAAATGCCTGTGTTAATGACACAGAGAATAAGAGAACCTACCTTAAGAGGGTTAGATGTATTGTAAGTTCTGGCCATTGTCCTGACACATGGTAGGTGCTGAAATATATACTAGCCAAATGAAATGAAATGGACAGAAGAGACTGGAGTTCTTGAAGAAGACTTCTTAATGAATTTTAATGTAGTTTTAAATTTTAATGAATTTTAATGTGTTTTAGAGGAACAAAGAGAGACACTTGCTCAGAAACTTTTTTTAAACATGTGAGCTAGCATTTCCTCTAACACTATCAGTTTAATCAGTGATTCCCAAAGCTTGCACATGAAAATGACATGGGAATCTGTAACAATGGCTGAATCCTGTCACTCACAGCACAGGATTCTATGCTCTAATTTCCCTGGGGCTTGACCTGGACATCAAGAGCTTTAAAGGCATCCTATGGTAGACAATGGCCAGAGCCAAGGCCAGAGCTTGTAAATATGATAGGTGACCTGGTAAAGTGGCAATAAGGAAGCAGTAGAATTAAAAATGTTAACCAATTGGCCTTAAACTAGGGAGGTTAGCCTGGATGATCCAAGTGGGCTCTGTGCTACTCCTTTAACTGAGGAAGCTGTAGGCAAAACGGCCAGTGTTATCATAGCACGATTTTTAAAAGTTTTAATCTGCCACCACAGGTTTGCAGAAACAGGGATAGTCCTGGTAAAGCTAGAGTCCTATAGAAGCTAGAAAAAACAAGAAAATGGATTCTAACACAGAACCTTCAAAAAGCAAGGCCAACCTGCTGGCTGAGACCTAGGAGTGGACTCCTGACTTTAGATAAAAAGTGTATTGTTTAAAGTTGCTTAGTTTTGTGATATTATTCCAGAAGCAAGGAAAAGCTGATACAGTTTTCCAGGTAATGCTAATGAGACAGAGTTTGGGAACTACATTGTTATGCCCTGTGGCAGGCCAGTTTTCCAGCTGCAAAAGAATAACAACTCGTAAATATAAAACAATTTTCTTACCCTCAATATTTTTTTCACTGAGGGCCAACTGCCCAGCACTGTTGCTTCCCCAGCCAAATGAAGTCCCCATGAGAGACAGAGCAAAGCTGTGAGTGCCACCTGCAGCCACTTGAGCCAATGGGATCCCCTCCAGGGACTTCACCTTCTGTGGGCTGGCTTGAGAACGGAACTTCTTCCCCAGGCCCAGCTGACCTTGACTGTTATTTCCCCATGAAAATACTTGGCTATCTACAAAAATGAAGAACACAGTAAAACCTGTCACCTCAGTACCACATTTTGTTTTGGTTTTACTGAGATATACTTGACAAAGAAAACTTATACATATTTGAAAGATGAAGCAATATTCTAATATGCATATACACTGTAAAACAAATGCCAGAATTAGCTAATTAAATTGACTTACACAGGTAGTTTTGCTGTTGCTGTTTTTTGTTTTGTTTTTCCTAATTCTGCTTGTAGGGCTGAGGCTGTATCTCTAGAGTGTACTCAGACTATTTACTATTCTTAGGTTCAATGGCCAATTCCAAATAAATAAGAAGACAGGAAAGTGGAACAAAACAAAGCTCTGCTTTCTTAATAAATGTCAAATATACAAAGCATTATTATAAACAATAGTTACATTGTAGGACAACAGAGTTCCAGACCTCATTCATCCTATAGGTGAGTTTATAGTCTTTGAAACTTCTTCCTTTCCCCTAACTATATGTTCCTGGCAGCCACCACTCTACTCTGTTTATTTGAGTCTGGTATCCTGTGATTTTACATGTAAGAGAAATAGGCAGCATTTGTCTTTTTATGTCTGGCTTAAGTTACCACTATAATATCCCATAAGTTCACTCATGGTGTTGCAAACACACTATTTTTTCCTACTCTTTGTGTTGTAGTTAATTTAACAAGCCTTCAAAAATTAATAAAACAAAGATAATGGAAGAAATGAGACTAAAGTTTTCAGATGAAAGGCAAGGCACATTGTCAAGTTCGAGTCTCTTCAAAACAATGTCCATTATTTTCACTTGCAAAGGAAACTGTGTTTTTACAGCTGTTCCACCACCAAATACATGGAATTGTTCTTAACTTGTGTTTTCTATATGCTTCAAGCTAGAAAATCCTAAATCCCCACACCCCTGCTGTCAAATATACACAGAATTCAACTTTTTCTCATTTCCCAACGTTACCACTTTAGCCAAGATACCATGGGAAATTAGAGCTTTAAACTAGTGTCCCACATTTCTCCCTTGCTCACAACAGTCTTTTCTATCAAGGGTGGCCAAAGTGATATTTTAAAAATTTAAGTCCAGGCTGTAACTCATGTGACCCTGAAGCACTGGCCAGGGATTCTGGCATCCCCTGCCACTCTTCTTCTGTTTGGGACTCTTTCCTAACAAGGACCTTCATGTGATAAGGAGACACAAATAACCCACCTGCATGCTTTGACATGACCCTTCTTGACCCTGGTCACCCATGCACATACATTCTCCAGGTCAAGCCCAGCACATATATCCTGTACTAGAGCCCAGCCTTACAGTCTACTGTGTCCACATCAGAAACACAACCAACAAAAGTTGGTTTGTGCCCTTGTCTTCTTGAAAACAACTATGAAGGATCAAGACAGTATTTACACCCCAAAATCCACTAGTGCTATACAAATGTTCTTCAATGAGCATTACATAGATGGGCACTGACACAGAACTTAAAAAGAACAACCATAAACTTTGCCAAAGAATTCAAGGAGTTAAAAAAAAATGACACAATTTAGTGAACATGAGGAATAAATGTTGACTGATGTTCAAGAAAAAAACAAACATGAGTGAAATGACAAAAACAGTACAGAATTTGAGATCTAAATTCAATAAAAAGATAAAAATATTGAAGAGAACTCAAGTTGAATTGGAGATGGGATTTTAAAAATCTCAATAACCTAGTTAGAAACCTCAGAGGAAAGGCTTCCAAATAAATTGACCAAGTAAAAAGATAGAATATCAAGGCTTAAAATAGAAGAATTACACAACACAGCAAAGAATGTGAAACACATATTAAAATTCAGAAAAGGAACAGGCATAATTGTGAAAAAGCATAAAATTACCAAATCTTGAAACTAAGTGAGGCTAGACAAAGGAGATGAATCCCAGATGAGTGCCATAGGCCAGAACTTCAGTGTGATCACAAAAGAAAACAACCTCAAGCAAAAGAAAAATATATCAAGAAAAATACAAAAAACACACAGAATACTAAGTAGACAAGATCAAAAAAAATTCTCATAGAATACAATAGTTAAAGCATTAAAATTTAAAGAAGGAATGAATTGAAAGTTGCAAGAGAAAAAAAAACATAAAGGAAACCCCATTATAATAACAACTAATTTCCCAATAAAAACTGTAAAAGCTAGAAGAGCTTGAAGCAATGTATCCAACTTTTAAAAGATCACAAATGCAAAAGTGTATGTCTATACCCAGTGAAACCATCAGCAATATATGAAGTAGAAAGAAACACTTTTCATGATACAAGCATGCTAAAAGAATCTGTGTCTACAAAATCAGACCTGCAAAGGGTACTGGAAGCAATATTTTTTTAATAATGTATTTAATTTTACTCTATGTGCATTAGTGTAAAGGTGTCAGATCCCTTGGAACTGGAGTTACAGACAGTTGTGAGCTGCCATATAGGTGCTGGGAATTGAACCCGAGTCCTTTGGAAGAGCAAACAGTGCTCCTAACCACTGAGCCATCTCTCCAGTCCCTGGAAGCAATATTTTAGCCTAAATATAGAAATAAGCATAACTAAAGAAGGAGAAAAGTGAAGCTATAATTACTAAACTAAGAATAAGAACACAGACAACAAACAAAAAGAATAAGATTGCAATCAGCACACATCTTTAAATAATAACCTTAGAGGGGCTGGAGAGATGGCACTGTCTGCTCTTCCAAAGGACCCGGGTTCAATTCCCAGCACCCACAAGGCAGCTCAGAACTGTCTGTAACACCAATTCCAAGGGATCTGACACCTTCACATTAATGCACATAAGATAAAAATTAAATAAATTATAAATTATAACTTTATTAATTGCCTTAACTGTCCAATTAAAAAATAGAGAGGCTGGATTTAAAACAAAATCCATACTTCTGTTTTCTACAATACAATAACCTTGGCGTTAAGGAAAAGAACAACTCTAAAATAGGAAGATGTCCAAACAAATGGGACCAGGAACCAAGCAAGCATTCCTATCCAAATATTTGACAAGATAGACTTCAAACTAAAACTAATCAAAAGAGATTATAAAGATTCAAGATAGACAAATTAGAAAACTTTTATTGATTTTAATCAAGAGAACAGTTAACCAATACATATTAGAATTCTAAACATATAGGTACCAAACTCTAGTACACACAATTATAGCAACTGTAGGACCAAAATTAAAGACACAGATTAACGGCAACCTAATAATAACAGACAATGTTAATATCTCACTTCATCCAAAGGATAGGCCACTCTCCCCACTCCTTTCACTAAAGATTTTAAAGCCCTAGCTAGAGCAATAAGACAAGAAAAATATTGAGAGGAATGAAAGTAGGAAAAGAAGAAATTATTTCTATTTCATATCATAGGATATTATACATACAAGATCACAAAATTTGTACCAGAAAGCAACAATTTCAGCAAATGGTAGGACATAAAATCAACTTTAAAAACTCAACAGCCTTCCCATATAAACAACAAACTTGCTGACAAAGAGATCATTGACATAATCACATTTACAATTGTCTCAGTGAAAAAATAACATATCTAGGAATAAGCCCAGCCAAGAAAGTGAACTACTTACATGATGAAAAATTTAAAACCTGAAAAAAAAAGGTTGAGGAAGACACAAGAAAATAGAAAGCCCGTTCATGGTCATGGGTACACAAAATTAATACTGTGAAAAGAAATGTTTTTTTATCAAAAGACACTTACACACTCAACAAAATTCCAGTTATAATCTGTCTCTGACATTAACTCAGTGGCTAGCTCTTTGACTTCCCCCCTCCCACCCACGAGGGAGGAGTAGCCTTGCTAGGCCACAGAGGAGGACATTGTAGCCAGTCCTGGTGAGACCTGATAAGCTAGGGTCAGATGGAAGGGGAGGAGGTCCTCCCCTATCAGCGGACTTAGAGAGGGGCAGAGAGGAGATGAGGGAGGAAGGGGTTGGGAGAGAATGAGAGAGGGGGCTACAGCGGGGATACAAAGTAAATAAATTGTAATTAATATAAAAAATAAAAATTTAATTAACAAAAAATCTCCATAGCATTCTTCACAAAAACAGAAACAAACAAACAAACATTCTAAAATTCATTATGGAACTACAAAATACCCTGGAAAGCCAAAGCAATCCTAAGCTGAAAGAGTACTGTTATTTTTTTAATTTATTTTTTAATTAATTACAGTTTATTCACTTTGTATCCCCGCTGTAGCCCCTCCCTCATCCCCTCCCAATCTCACCCTCCCTCCCTCTTCTTCTCCTTGGACCCTATGTTGTTGTTTTTTCCAGATGTGAAACTTAAAATATTTGTTTGTTTCTAGACCACTGACTCACTGGAATTTGTATTTTACTGACAATTGTAGGTATCATAGACATTCTACAACTGGTCCTTCTATTGGGTCAAATGGGCTTCATTACTGTTTGTTTATGGGTTTCTCCACCTTAATCTACAAACAACTTTTCTAAGTCAGTCACCATAGTCTACTTATCTCTGTATCTCCATTGTGTGGCACAGGCTGAATAAACAAGCTAATAACATTCTAGCCCAAGCTATTGGATACTGTCCTAAAGTCAGCAACCTGGTTCATGGTAGGTGTTGATTACTATGCCTCTTTTTCTCCATGTCTACAGGAAAGCCAAACCATAGCATCTCAGTACCATGGTGTAGTCTATACAGAAGCAGCTGTGACAGCTGCTTCCACCATATCTGGGAGAAATTAATCTAACATTGATATTCCAAGGATAGGTGTCCTTGATTCCTCACACTAACCTCTAGATACTGTTTCACTCTCTTATCTTTTGGAAACTCGAAAGAGTATTATTAACTAATCTAAGTGCCAGTTCTTTGAGAGTTAAACAAAATTGACAGACCCTTAGCCCAATTAATCAAAAGAAAGACATGTCCCAAATTAACAGAATCAGAAATTAATATTGAACCATTACAATACATGCCAAAGAAATTCAGAATAGTATAGGGGAATTATAAAATCTAAAAGAATTATACAAATTTCTAGATTCATTCAAACCACTGAAGTTGAACCAAGAAGAAATCAATACCCTAAACAGACTCACAACAAATGAGTAGATTGAAACAATAATAAAAAGCCTCCAGGTAATATAAACAGACTTAAAGATAAGATGAACATCTCAATAAATGCAAATGCCTTTGACAAAAATCCAACTTACTTTCATAATAAAAGTCCTAAAGAGAGTAGGACTGGAGGATACATAACTCAAATTAATAATTAATAGAATTAATTTAAAATTAATATATGACAAACATTAAATGGAGAAAAACTTGAATCACTGCCATTAAAATCAGGAATGAGGCAGGGCTGTCTGCTGTCTTCACTCTTTCAATATAGTGCTCTAAGCACTATCTGGAACAAAAGGCAATAGAAGGAAATTAAAGAAGCAAAAATAAAAAGAAACAAAATTATCGTTATTTTCAGATGAGATGGTATTAGACATAAGAGACTCCAAATACTCCATCAGAACACTTCTAGAAAGAATCAATAAATTCAGCAAAATCTTTTTTATTATACAAAAAAGATCAATTCATAAAACTTAGTAGCCTTTCTAAAAATCAACAATAAACATTCTGAGAAAGACCAGCATATGCCCATTTACAATAGCCTCAAAGAAAATAAGTATCTATGAATAATCCTAACCAAAAAGGTGAAGAACCTCAACAATGAAAACTTGAAATCTCTGAATGAAGAGATTGGAGACATTGGAAAATGAAGAAAAAAAAAAGCTTCTGAAGGACCTCCCGTATCAGTGTACTTGGGGAGGGGCATGCGTGAAGAAGGGGGAGTGAGGGTGGGATTAAGAGGGGAAGAGAGAGGGGCTTATGGGGGGATACAAACTGAATAAAGTGTAATTAATAAAGAACAGATAATTTTAAAAAGCCTCTCATGCTCATGAATAGGTAGAAATAATATTGTGAAAATGGTCATCATACCAAAAGCAATTTACAGGTTCACTGCAATCCTGATCAAAATCTCCACAACATTCTTTAAAAATATTTCCGAATGACAGAGGTCGCCAAAGTATTCTTTACCTTCTGATAATGCCAAAGAGTGGTAGTGTCCACAGGAAACTTGGATTATTTTTATGTCCGCCAAAGCTTTTATTTTCCTATAATAAATACGTCACAAAAATCTGTTAAACCTTGTTTAGAATGAGTGATCAAAGAAATTACAGATATTTAAAAGTATTTTAGATAATACATCAGATCTTAGGGAATAATTGTATTCTCCTGTGCTTCCATAATACCATTACCCCAAAATGCCAAACTGTTTTTTTTTCCACTCTTTTTTTTTTTTTTTATTTTAGCTACTTAGAGGAAGGGTTTCTCTCCCAGCCTCCAAGAGCCTCAGACCATCTCCGTTCCCATGTGAAGACAGAGCAGCATCGGGGTTTCCCACTTATCTCGCCCCTCTTGAATCAGTTCATCAGGTCAGACAGAGGCTGCTTTCCTACACCAACCCTGCTAATCCCACCACCATAGCTGTAGTTTCACTGGACAGTGTACTGGACGGCAGGGATCTCAGCCATCTAACCACAGCATCACTAAGCTGACAAGGCATCTGACTGCCTGAACAGGACCACAATTCTCTGCTGTATACTCTTCCTTAATCGAATATCTCTTTAGTTTGACACACAGCATGGGGCCAAAATTGCATTGCATCCATTGTTTTTGTTTGGTTACGGTTGGGGGTGTTGTATTTGTTTACTTGTTTGCTTGTTCGAAGGATTTAGGGTTTTTGAGGGGAGGAGGGTGAGAAAGCGCCTCACATAGGTGTGGCTGGTCTGATTCCCTTTGCAACTGAGGACGACCTTAAACTTCTGATTCTCCTGTCTCTGTATCAGTAAAGGTCTATGTATATTAGAGGTTCAATGGAAGAGTATGGTGTGTCCCATTAGGCCTCTTCATAATGCTAATGTGTAGTCTACAGCAGAGGGGCTTAAATATTTGGGAAATACATAAAGTGTGGTTAATGTAAGAGGCTCTGCTTTACTCAGATACAAGATAATCAAGTAAGATTTCTTTCTGAATACTTGGTACCTTGTTGATTTGTACTTAAGGTAATATTTTTCTTTATTTATTTACTGGAGGATAAATATGGGAACTCCAAGTGAGTTCCCATAATTCTATTACAATAAGTAAAACTGGGAATATCACATATCACTTCATTCTTATTTTCTCCTTCAATTAATCTACTACACATGATTTCCTGACCACTTCTCTCACCACATTTTAACCCTTGAGACTCAGGAACACCTCAGTCATGGTCACTTTCGTGTCTTGGCATTGAGTACCTAGCACCAAAAATACTGAAGAAACAGTGAATTGAAATACTCACATGGGCATAAAATTTATTTCCTTAAATTCTCCAATCCCCAGCTGCCCATCAGAACCAGCTCCCCAAGCAAAGACTCTTCCTTTGTGGCAGACAGCCAGAGAGTGTGCCTTCCCACAGCTCACCAGGTCAACGTGGATATTAGCCAGTGCCTGAATTGGTTCTTTAGATACAAAAAAATAATTAAAAAAAAATTCCTGTAAGATTATGAACTTTGTAGAGTTTAAGTCAGTAGTTGCCTTCAAAAAGAAAGAAAGAAAGAAAGAAAGAAGATGAAGAGCTATCCAGATTTAATAGCATCTCTTAAATCAAGCCTGAAGTCTTCCTAAACATTGGGGAGAAACAAATACAGTATGTTTGTCTTACATGTGTGGAAACACAGCTGCATTATAGTGACTATCTGGATACAACTTGGCTGGCAAGGTTTGAGCATAAGCAAACTGAAACCCAACTCAAAATGATGGGCATGGCCTAGGGAAAAGAAACTGAAATGTGTCCAGCTAATCTTTACACAGAGAATAGAACTTTAACCAGGGCCTGACCACTTTAACCAAGATAATTATTTGGTCTCTTAAATTATTTGCTCTCTTAAATTCTGCACAAGTTTGTGAAAGTTTCCAGCTGAAATCTCATACCCCTCAGTGCGGCCTGAGTCCTTGCACTCTAGTGCTGATCTGTTCATGAGTGATTAAATGTTTCAATCAGAGATTCAGGTTATTAACATACACAGTTTATCTTTTTATTTCTTTCTGCTTCTTTTTTGTTCTGTTTTGTTTTTGCAGTACTAGGGCTTGACCTAGGGCCTCATTTGTGTATGGCAAGTGCTTTGTAACTGTTTCCCACAATTTATTATCCATTAAAGTCCCAACGTCTTTTCTTTTTTAATTTCAGTGAATCTAAGCACCCCTTTTCATTTACTTTCTGTGAATTCCTATAGACACAAATTACTCACTAGCTAACAGATTAATAAAATATCATGCTGTTAATTTTTTCCAGTTAAATTTGCAGCTTCCAGGACTGAATCTAAAAGGATAGAAGAATAATTTTCATTTCCCACACAGTTCTTCAAATTATTCTAAGCATGTAATCAAATATAGTCAAGGGCTGGTAATGTAATATGGCCCAGTAGTCGAGTGTTTGCTTAGTATATAAAATGACAAACAAAGAAAAGAAAGAAAAACAGACTGAACTTTAGTTAGAGCTATACTTACAAGAATGTGAATCAATATCATGTATAAAAGCCCCTAATGGGGTATTATGCTTTGATAAAAACACAATTTGTTCTTTAAGTACAAATACAATAATTTATAATGACATCAGTTCTATAAGGATTAAATACATACAGAGAAAATAGGAGAAGAAGGAACTCTGCCTTCTTATTAGAGCTGCCTTTTGGAGTGCTTACAGGTGGCTTCCTTTGAAAAATATATTATTTTTATTCATGTGCATGTGTGAGTGTGTCACTCTGTGCTTGTGTGTGTGCTGGTGCCCATGGAGGCATCAGATCCCCTGGAGTTGGAATTACAGATGGTTGTAAACTGCCCAATAGGTGCGAGAAACCGAACTCTTAGCCACTGAACTGTCTCTCCAGACTCTACAGGTATCTTCTTTTTTACATTCCTACAACAGCTTTAATGCCCAAAAGTGCTATTTTACTTATTTTAAAACTTAGGAGAAAAGATGCTCCAGGGTATTGCTAAATTGCTAAGGTAGTTAGAGGTGTGTAACCCACTAGGTTTGGAAGACCTCCTCCAGAAAAGTTCACTCAGGCTTAGCTTGGTCTGCAAAGTCAAGAGAGAGGGACCTTATTTCTGTCCAGAGGAATGCAATTTTCAGTTTGTCAATGAAGAGGAACTGGAAACCGAAACAAACTCTGGAGCTCTGGAAAACGAAACCGTTAACAGGCGCACCTTAAAGCAGGGTTCTCAGCTTTCCCGGCATCCCTGGTCTAGCCACCCGGTATCCCTAGTCTCCTGGTTCAGCGAGCCTAGGCGCCTGCATACTGTCCGGAGCAGCTGCTCTTGGGGTGGGTACTCACCTGGCTGATCGGTACTTTGCTCTCTCTTCTGGCCCAGCTGGCCCCATCTGTTGTCCCCAAAGGAGTGCACCCTGTGGTTGCTGAACAATAGCAGCGAATGGCGCTCCCCGCTGGCAGCCTGCAAAAGCTTAACGCCGGTTCCCGCCTCCAGTCGACAAGGCTGAGGGCTTCCCGCAGCCCAGCAGAAGTACATCTCTCCGGAGTCACCCACAGCTCTGGTTTGACAACTAGGTCGTATTGGCTCCCAGACACAAGTAACCTAGCTTCTTAACTCCTCCCAGGGGCGCTGCCTTGTCTCTTACGTCACGGTCCTTTCTTTTGTGTAAGTGGTCACTTGTCTCCGGTGCCATAAAAACTTTTTCACGGGCTTCCTGCGCAGGTCCTCTTAAAACCTGGCTGTTCATTAAGGAGATGCAAATTAAAATGACCCTGAGATTTCACCTTACACCCATCAGAATGGCTAAGATCAAAAACTCAAGTGACAACACACGTTGGAGAGGTTGTGGAGAAAGGGGAACCCTCCTCCATTGCTGGTGAGAATGTAAATTTATACAACCACTTTGGAAATCAATCTGATGCTATCTCAGACAATTAGAAATAGTGCTTCCTCAGGATCCAGCTATACCACTTCTAGGCATCTATCCAAAATATGCTCAAGTACACAACAAGGACATTTGTTCAACCATGTTAGTAGCAGCTTTATTTGTAATAGCCAGAACCTGGAAACAACCCAGATGTCCCTCAGTTGAGGAATGGATACAGAAATTGTGGTACATTTACACAATGGAATACTACTTAGCAATTGAAAACAAGGAAATCATGAAATTTGCAAGCAAATGGTGAGACCTAGAAAAGATCAACCTGAGTGAGGTATCCCAGAAACAGAAAGACACACAGGGTATATACTCACTTATAAGTGGATAGTAGACCTATAAAATAAGATAAACATACTAAAATCTGTACACCTAAAGAAGCTAAACAAGAAGGAGGACACAGAGTAAGAAGATCAATCCTTACTTAGAAAGACAAATGGGATGGACATTGGAAATAGGAGAAAACGAGATGCAGGATAGGAGCCTACCATAGAGGGCCTCTGAAAGACTACCTAGCAGTGTATCAAAGCAGATGCTGAGACTCATGGCCAAACTTGGGCAGAGTGCAGGGAATCATGAAAGAAGAGGGAGTTAGTATGACCTGGAGCTCCACAAGGACCAAATGTATCTGGGCACAGGGGCTTGTCTGAGACTGATTCTCCAACCACAGACCATGCATGGATATAACCTAGAACCCCTGATTGGATGCAGCCCATGGCAGCTCAGTATCCAAGAGGCTTCCCTAGTAAGTGGAACAGGAACTATCTCAAGCATGAACTCTATGGGTAGCTCTTTGACCTCCGCCCCCAACCCCCGGGGGAGGAGCAGCCTAGCTAGGCCACAGAGGAGAACATTGCAGCCAGTCCTGGTGAGACCTGCTAAGCTAGAGCCAGATGGAAGGAGAGGAGGACCTCCCCTATAAGTGGCCTTAGAGAGGGGCAGGGAAGAGATGAGGGGAGGGAGAGTGGGATTGGGAGGGAATGAGGGAGAGGGCTACAGCTGGGATACAAAGTAAATAAACTGTAATTAATATAAAAAATAAAATAAATAAAACCTGGCTGTTTGAGTTTCAAGTGCTGAGTAGCAAAGGACACAGGGAAGAAGAAAAGTATCTCCATTATAACCAAGCTGCTGTGAGTCTTGCTTCTCTGGGCAAATTGTTAGGTTTGTGAAATAATTATTAAGTGACAATAAATTCACAGGGTATAGCCATTTCAGTGGCAGCCAATTCCCAGGGAATATACTTTCCTTGGCAGCCATGGCTGAGGTTCTTTTATTCCAGTCTTGATTATTAGTTTCAGATCACACATTAAACATAATATGATAAATCTTTCTTTCTATCTATCTATCTATCTATCTATCTATCTATCTATCTATCATCTATCTATCTGTATACTATATAGATTATGGGATGCATACAGGGGTTAAAGAAGTTTTAAGGACGTTTCAAAGAGGCCTAGAAAGCCAAAGCTGAAAACCTGTAGAGATGCAATAATGAACCAGACTAAGCTGCAAAGAAGTTGTTGCTCAACTCAGTCTGACTGCAGAGGCTGAGGGCAAGGTCCGGTGGCAGAGAAATGTAAACCTTCATATTAAAGTTGGATAAGCCAAGCCAACAGAAAAATGAAAGTACCCCAAGAGAAGGCACAAGAATCAGAGACCCACTCATTTACACAATCAAGAATCCCATAAAAGTACTAAACTGAAAGCTATAGCATATGCTATAGCTATATATGCAAAAGACCTAGTGCAGCCCTGAAAAGGCCCTGTGATTGCTGCTTCAGTCTGTGTTCAGACGAGATTTGCTTAGATTAGAAGGCCTTGTTCTCCTGTTGTCCTCCATCCCTGCTGCTCTGCCACTCCTTCTGCCTCCTCTTCTGAAGGGTTCACTGAACTCTGAAGGGAGGAATTTGATGGAGACACACCCCCCTGAATAATATCTGGCTATGGTTCTCTATTTGTTCCTATCTGCTGCAGGATGAAGCCTCTCTGATTATGGCTGAATTAGACACTGACCTATGAGTATAGCAGAATATCACTGAGTCATTTTTTGTTACCTTTTTATTGTTGTATTTTGTTTTTGTTTTAAGATCAGTAGTATTTGGTTTTGCTCAGTCTCTGGGCTATCTAAATTCTGGTTCTTGGTCACCTAAACAGTTTCAGGTATGGGTTCTATCTCATGGAGTAAACCTTAGGTCAAATCAGAGATCAAGTGGCTAGAGAGTTGGCAGTTATTCATTTTTAAAAGGTTACTATAATATTTTAAGTTTTTATTTATTTAGGCCTGAGCGCTTCATCTGATACACACATGAATGCCAGAGGAGGACATCAGATCCCACCATAGATGGTCGTGAGCCACAATGTAGTGGCTGGGAATTGAACTCAGGTCCTCTAGAAGAGCAGCCAGTGCTCTTAACCACTGAGCCATCTCTCAGCCTTGTTTTCCCTAGAGCTACTAGTTCTCCCATTGAGAAAGACAAATTCATAGACAGGTTGACCTTGATAAAAAGCTGCATGCTGAAAAAGATAAAATCACAAAGCAGGTTTCAATGTAAAAGCAAACTCAAGTTACCATACTGTTGTCTTAAGAAGTGATTTAAGGTATGTTTAAAAAGATGATGCCTAAAGATTATATATATGATGTTAAGACTTCAAAGTTCAAGGTTTAACCTTAATAAATGGAATTCTGTTGTGTATTAGTCTAGCTTTGATAACTGTTACAATAAGCACTGACTGCCAAACGTTTTCTTTTTTTTTTTTTTAATCATAGTCACAGGCTCAAAATTTTAAATTTCTTTTTGAACATGACAAGAATAACTAGTTTTTAAACTTACAAAACCTACTTTAAATCTTCAAAAGGAAACTCCAATTAGGGTATCTATATTTTAAACTCAAATTCTTACATCTAAAGGAAATAAATTTATTCCTGTTTAATTTGTGTTGTGTAGTGGCTGGAAAGATAGCGCAGCAATTATAAGCCTTGACTGATCTTTCACAGGCCCTGGGTTCAATTCTGAGTACCTATCCAGCAAGTCACAACTGTCTATAACTCCAGGATCTGACACCCTCACACAGACATACATGCAGGCAAAACACCAATGCAAATAAAATAAAATAAATTATTAAAATGTTGTGTATGTGAATGTGAGTGTGTGTGTGTGTGTGTGTGTGTGTGTGTGTGTGTGTTTGTGTATATACTGGTCCCCTGACCAGTTTTTCACTATACATTTACAACAAATTAAACACTGCAAAAGGCCCTAAAATATGCTCAGATTTAGTTCAAACTTTAATTCCATTTATTGTAGCTAGAGATGCCCAAAGGTTTGCATTAATTCTTCTTATCAAATTATACAAAATATATTAAACTCTAATAACAACAGCATTCATGGTGTTTTATACCGTTAGTACTGGTGTTTCTTGATTAGTGTCTAAAGTGTCCTGAAGTATAAAGTGCTAGAATTTTGGAAAAAAAATAAATAAATAAAACAGCACTTGTATTTTGTTTAAAAAAAAAAAAAAGCAAACAAGCAATGTTACAATGATTCCTTCTAGAGTCTCATTGTATCTCTAACCATTAAAATAAAAGTAATTCATGCTCCTAGAAGCATTGCAGGTGTGGCTGCTGTGTCAGGGAGGAGAGAGGCTGTGTCTGTGCTCAGTGCTCTGATCTGTGAACACATGAGTGATTAGTAGCCTAACACCCCTGAAAAAGTGAGCTTGAGATGACCACCAGTCCAGCGTCAGGGGGCATGAACAGGAAGATAGCCTGAGATGTCCACCTGTATCGTACAGGCCAGGGGGAGCAGACCATGTCCAAGATGACCCTTGACCGGTGCAATAAGGCATAGCAGGGCATAGCACCCCTGAGACAACCCCAGACACTCAGAAACCCTGGACACCACTAAGAGAAGCAAGTAATTAGTAGAGAAATGGAAGAGAAAGAGAGGCAGAAAGATGTGTGCAAATGAAAAGAAGCAGAACTAGAGACTCGAGGGTAGTGAGGAACAGCCTGATGTGAGTAGCTAGTGATGTCTCCTGGGATGGTGGTGGAGTCCTGGTTTGTGCTGACACTGGGAGCCATGTCTGGGTCCATGGCCCTACAGTAGCAGGGATCTGTTACCACCAAAGGCCAGATGGACATCCCCAGTCTGGGCTGCCACCCTGGGACGTACTGACGTCTGAGGGCTGTGCAGAACTGGCCCTACCTCCTTGTCTGAGCATTGTGGGAGAGAGGGCCCTAGGGGCATGAAAGCAAGAGAGCTGACCCAGGCCCTTGCCAGACACAGTATTTAGGAGAGCAGGCTCACATATTATGGGAGTTTTGGGTGAGCTGGTCCCAAGGGCATGAACATTTGAGAGCTAGTCCCACCACTTGTCTGCTGTGTGATGACATGGGTAAGAGAGAAATGCCTTTCCTCACCTTCGTCCCTTGCCACATACAGCAGGAGGGAGAGCTGGCTCTGGGGTTATGAGAACAGGAGAGCTTGTCTTGTCCCTCGTCTGCTGCAGCACACAGAAGAACAGGCCCTAAACCTCCCCTGGGCAGCACAATTGACCTGTCCCTGTATGTGGGGGTTGCAGGTGTGTCGGCCCCAAGGGCGTGAGTGCAGGAGAGCTGGTCCTGCCTCTTATTTGCTGTGCAGTGG